TGTGCCGAAATGGGTGTGGGTGACGCATGCGGCCGCGGGCACAGGGGCCTTCGGTGGAGCTCCCTATGGAGCCACGAAACGTGTGAGGGGTGTGCCGAAATGGGTGTGGGTGACGCATGCGGGCGCGGGCACTGGGGCTTCGGTGGAGCCCCCTATGGAGCCACGAAACGTGTGAGGGGTGTGCCGAAATGGGTGTGGGGGACGCATGCGGCCGCGGGCACTGGGGCCTTCGGTGGAGCTCCCTATGGAGCCACGAAACGTGTGAGGGGTGTGCCGAAATGGGTGTGGGGGACGCATGCGGCCGCGGGCACTGGGGCCTTCGGTGGAGCTCCCTATGGAGCCACGAAACGTGTGAGGGGTGTGCCGAAATGGGTGTGGGGGACGCATGCGGCCGCGGGCACTGGGGCCTTCGGTGGAGCTCCCTATGGAGCCACGAAACGTGTGAGGGGTGTGCCGAAATGGGTGTGGGGGACGCATGCGGCCGCGGGGGGGCAGCGGGAGGAAGGAGAACGCGGGGCACCGTCTCTTCAAAACGAGGACCCAGCACCACAGGATGGTTGGGAAAAACGTAACATTGAAATTTATGGAGTCAACATAAAGTCGGTTCCCGGAAGTCAACTAATACTAAAACTGACTCTAGAGAGCTGAGCTCCTGAGGGAGCAAAGTTTACATGCCAATGCTCGGCGTAAAAATTTGCTTTCTCAAAATAAATGGTCAAATATCTTTCAAGTATTCGCAAAACCACCCAAAAGATGTCACTTTGTCCTTTCTGGTCGGGTCGACCAACTAGCTCCATCCCGCGCCGGAATTCCTCTAGCTCATCGATGACGAAGAGCTCTACGAGGTATGTTGAAAAAAAAATGCAGAGAACGAATAGTTTTTCAGCCCAAGCGATTGGAGGCCTCTCGATGCAACAGCCGAACGACTTTTTGAGGAGAGCTCTACGAGTTACTAGCTCAGGAAAATTCGAGTCTTGTGAGGTGCCAGTTTTCTGTACCTTACTCGGGCTGTAGGAGACTACAGGGCTGATAATGACTGGGATGGATTTGGATACATCATGCGCGTCCGGCTGTCAGAGCTCGGACTGGGTCTGCTGCCCGAGCTAGGTCTGCGAAATTATTTGTATGTTTCGAGTCATCTTAAGAGGTGCTATCGTTTTCTGCACTTAACTCGCGCTCTTTGGGGCGCTGAAAAGGCTGGTACTCTCAGGAGTCGATTCGGAGACATCAGGCGCGTCCGCCTGTTGCATTGAGAGGTGTGAAGTCGGTCTGAGACTCGAGCTCGGTTCGCGAAACTATTCGTGTTCGAGTGTTTTTGAGAGATGCTGTCTATTTGCGCACGTAACTCGGTCTGCAGGAGAGCTACAGAGCTCGTGCAGAGAACGATCCAGAAGCATCAGGGCCGTTTGGCCGTTGCATCGAGCAGTGTGAAATCGCCCGGGCTGAAAAACTATTTGTTCTCTGATTTTTTCGACATTATATGGTCAGGAAGCTCTACGAGTCTCGCTGGTAAGGAAGGTTGCCCGTTTACCGCCGGCGTCCAGTAAGAGAGCTCTCGATCGGAGTAGAGTAATAACATGGAGATTCTCTTAAAATCCAGCAATAGCTCGTATCGTTATGGATGAGCCAGAGGAATTCCGTCGTGGGGTGGAGCTAGTTGGTCCACCCGGCCAGAAAAGAAGATGTGGTAACTTTGGATCGGTTTTCGGAAGATTTGAAAGATATTTGATAATTCATTTTCAGAAAGCAGATTTTTCGCACTGTAGTGGGTTATGCCGCGTTCGCCAGCGAAAGCTTCAGGCCCATATATGCAGTATTACTATCAAAACACTTAGAGGAACCGACATTTGATAAAAAACAGGACAACGTAATTTTGAGTTTTTTGCATCTCGCCCCAGAAGCTTTCTTTATGTGTTCCGAGGATCGCTGTGCAAGACAAGAGCTCTACGAGGTTCCCGGTGGTTGCCAGGTTGATGATTTACCGGCGGTTCCCAGTTGGAAGGCAATCATCTGGGGCGCTAGTGGAAAGTATCTAGACGCCTGCAATCAGTCTGCTATTAGCGCTCGGGTCGAAAAACTATTCGTTGTCTGCTAATTCTTTGGATATGATTACGAGTACGAGTCTCCCGGCGGTAACCAAGGTGAACGGTTTACCGCCGTCGCTCAGAACTTATCTCGTAGAGCTCTTCGGCAAGATGAGCTAAGAGCCATTCGGGCGCAGGATAGAGGTAGTAACTCGTAGAGCTTCCCTCAGCTAGTTGCTGGAAGCTTAAGAGTAATTCCGGCGCGCTGGAGAGCTAGCTGGCAAGAAAAATCTCGGACTTTTTGCTGACTTTCGCTCGGTTGAAAATTATGTTTTCGAAATTCAATTCGTTGGAGCTTGGTTTTTTTTTGATCATATTCGATCTTATTTCCGCTCGCCGTCTTACTCTTAGCTCGATCGGGTACCTATTACTGCGAAAAAGCGTCGCGGCGGGATCGGCCGTTTCGAGTCATCTTGACACGCGTTGGCGGTTTTCTGTATTTAACTGGAGCTTTCTAGAAAAGCAACAGAGCTGATGCACACAGAAACCGATGCAGAATAATCAGGTGCGTTCATCTAAAGCATCTAGAGGTCTGAATTCAGTCTGCTACCCGAGCTAGATCCGCGAAGCTGTTCGTATTCTACGAATTTTGTTGTCATGTGCTGTCGGTTTTCTGTACTTAATCTAACTGCAGGACAGCTACAGAGCTGGTACGCCCACGTAATCGATTCAGAATCATCAGGCGCGTTTGTCTGAAGCATCTAGATGTATGAACTCGGTCTACTACTCCAGCTAGGTCGAAACTATTCGTACTCTACGAATTTTCTTAACAGGTGTTCTCGGTTTTCTGTACTTGACTCGAGCTGCAGCAGAGGTAGATAGCTGGTACGCCCACGTCATCGATTCAGAATCAGGCGCGTTCGACTGAAGCATCTAGAGGTCTGAACTCCGTCTACTACTCGAGCTAGGTCCGCGAAACTATTTGTATTCTACGAATTTTGTTGACATGTGCTGTCGGTTTTCTGTACTTAAATCTAACTGTAGGACAGCTACAGAGCTGGTACGCCCACGTAATCGATTCAGAATCATCAGGCGCGTTTGTCTGAAGCATCTAGATGTATGAACTCGGTCTACTACTCCAGCTAGGTCTGCGAAACTATTCGTACTCTACGAATTTTCTTAACAGGTGTTCTCGGTTTTCTGTACTTAACTCGAGCTGCAGGAGAGGTAGATAGCTGGTACGCCCACGTCATCGATTCAAGAATCATCAGGCGCGTTCGTCTGAAGCATCTAGAGGTCCGAACTCGCTCTGCTACTCGAGCTAGGTCCGCGAAACTATCACACCGTTTTTTTGAGATGATGGTGTGTTTCTTGACGGCACTCGAGCTGCATCCAAGCTCCAGAGCTCTTTGGCGCAGGTATCGGGAGGGAATTATCAGACGCGCTAGTCTGAAGTATCTAGACGCTTGGGTTCGGTCTGTTCTCAGCACAGAAGCCGAACAACTATTCATATTATGTTTTTTTTTTTTTCCGGTGATGGAATTGTTTTTTCTGGCTAACTTGAGCTGCAGATGCGCTCCAGAGCTCTGAGGCACAGCAGTCGGAAGACAATCATCAGGCGCGCTATTTGATAGTATCTAGGCGCCTGGAATCTATCTTCTATCAGCGCTCGGGCTGAACAACTGGCGCCGGCGGTGAACCGTCAACCTGGTCACCACCGGGAACCTCGTAGAGCTCCTTGGACGAGTTTGAGAGCTCAGGATCGACTCAGAATAATAAAATGAAGATTTTCTGAAAATCGTCATTCTTCGATTTTTCGATATTCATGATAGCTCCGTTCCGGGAAGTCAACTCATAATAGAATGCATCGGGGAAGCTGAGCTGCTCTCAGAATGAAGTTTATATGCGTGTGCTTAGCGCCAAAATCTGCTGTCTCGAAATGAATGGTCAAATATCTTTTAAATCTTAGCAAAATCGACCCAAAGTCACCACTTTGTCCGCCCGGGCCGGGTCGACCAACTAGCTTCACCCCGCGCCAGACTTCCTCTAGTTCATCGATGTCGAAGAGCTCTACGAGGTACTATTCGTACTCTGCTATTTTCTTGGAGATGGTATTGGTTTTCTTGGTATAACTCGCGCTGCAAATGAGCAGAGCTGTTCAGCACAGCAATCGGAAGGGAATCATCAGAGGCGCTAGTTGAATGTATCTAGAAGGCTGCAATCAGTCTGCTATTAGCGCTCGGGCTGAACAACTATTCGTACTCTGCTAATTCTTTGGAGATGGTATATGGCAAGGAAGCTCCTACGAGTCCCCCGGCGGTAACCAACGTTGATGGTTTACCGCCGGCGCCCAGTTGGCAGACCCGACCTAAACAGACCATGTGATGGCTTGGGGTCGGTTTTGCTAAGATTTGAAAGATATTTGATAATTCATTTTGAGAAACCAGAATTTTCTCACCTGTATTATGCCGCGTCTCTCAGTGCAATTCTCAGGGCCGTAGCTGCAATATTTCTATCAAAAGACTTGCAGGAACCCTCTTTCGGGAACAAACTGAAAACCGCAATTTTTCGCGTTCCTCAGCTCATCCCTGTGAAAGGTTCTTTCATGTTTTCCGAGCAGCGCCGCGCGAGAAGAGCGTTCTACGAGGCTCCCGGCGGTAATTTGGTTGACTGTTTACCGCCGGATCTTTGTTATTTGTTCGAGTACCTCTTTACCTCGTAGAGCTCTTCGGCAAGATGAGCTGAGAAGAATTCGGTCGGGCGCAGGGTGAAGCTAGTTGGCAGACCCGACCTGAAGAGACAATGCGATGACTTGGGGTCGGTTTTGCTAAGATTTGAAAGATATGTGACAATTTATTTTGAGACCACATTTTCCTCACCTGTAGTGGGTTATGCCGCGTCTGCCAGTGCGATTCTCAGGACCGTAGCTGCAATATCATTATCAAAACACTTCCAGGAACCGACTTTGGAACAACAAAAAACTAAAAATCGTAATTTTCCAAGCTTCTCAGATCACCTTGAGAAAGCTTCTTCCATGTGTTCCGAGCAGCGCCGCGCGATTACAGAGCTCTACGAGGCTGCCGGCGGTAACCTGGTTGGGTGCCGTCGGGGACTCCTTGGGGGCCCCCCCCGCCGCGCCCCACCCGCCCTCGGCCGCCCGTCCTTCTCTCTCCTCTCGGGCCTCGGCACCCTCGCGATGGCGGCTTGAGCACCTCTTGTCTCTGCAGTGGGTGGAGTCAGATTGTTGTATTGGAGTGCCCCTTGCTGTGTGGTGCCGTGACAACGCAATTTTGTACCTCGTCGCCCTCTACTTTGTACGCCACATCTTATCCTGTTCCTTCTTTCCCATCCTCGTCGTGGCGGCGGAGAGCGAGAAGGCTGAAACTCGCCATGTTTCGACAAGCCCTCTTTGACATCCATACTCTGCAGTGCGTTCCAGTGGTGATGCAGTCTCCAGAGGTGGTGCAGTCTCCAGCCGTGGTGCAGTCTCCGGAGATCTGTTTGCTAGAGGCTCTGGGTGTGGTGCCGGACTCATCCGACGGAGTCGCTAAACCCGCTGGGCCAACTGATCGTGGAGAAGCTTTCTCGTTTCATTCGGTTGCGTATTCTCCAGATGTGGTGCAGTCTTCAGATGGTGGGCTGCAGTCGAGACTGGTCTCTGTTTCTTTTGATCCTGGTGTCCAGAATGAGGAGTTGCAGGACGAGGAGTTGCAGGATGAGGATTTGCAGAGTGAGGAGGTGCTGAATGAGAAGTTGCATTATTCTCAGCATATCGTTTTCGTGGATGCAAGCTCTGAAGTTTGCCACGCTCCATTTCCTGACACTCTGTCGGCTTTTGTTGACCCAGGTGTTCGGAAAGAGGAGTTGCATGATGAGGAGTTGCAGGATGTGGGGTTGCAGAATGAGGAGTTGCTGAATGAGCAGTTGCATTATTCTCATCATACATATTATACGGCCTCACGCCCTGAAGTTTGCCACAGTTCAGCTTCTGACGGAGACTCAGCTTGCCATGGAAAGGATTGGCAGGGGGATCTTAGGGATTTCAAGGACGAGGAGGAGGATAATGTTCATGTTGATTCCGTGGAGAGTTCTATGGCAGTTGCTGCTGAAGAAGCGTCGCTGGCTTCTCAATCAAATGATGCTGTACTGCACTCAGCTCCTTTGGATTATTCTCTGCACTCATCTCCTTTGGATTATTCTCTGCACTGAGTTCCTTTGGATTATTCTCGAGCGCAAAAGGAAGGTGGAGGCCCCGAGGCGCTCCCGTTGGCATCCTCGAAAACCCACGGAGAGTGCGAAGTCGACCAGCGTAAAGATAACTGTGCTTCTTCTTCCCAGCTCTGTTCAGATGAGTTGCAGAGCAGTCGATCTGAGTGTCAAGCTGCCAGGGACTGGGCCCTTGCCGGTGTCGATGTCAGTGCCCTTTGGCGTGAGCTACACCGACTGCCGACGCAGGAGTTTCAGCGTAGGACTGAGGCTCTTCATGCAGGCAGGCTGCAAATGGGAATTGAAAGTTCCGAGGAGGATGATTCGCAACAAGGGGGTCCTCAGAGTTCTACTTCCAGGAGTGCATTGACGCGGAGCGGCAAGAAGCATCGGAAACGGCACAGATGATGCACATGTGATTGATCCTGCACGTATGTTTTGGTCTGCCCCCCTCTCTTTCCCCCGCTGTTTCTGCCCCTGGGCTCGCTTTGGCTCTTTGGGCTCCCCCCGCTCTCCCGCTGGCTTTCCTTCCGCTCTCCGCTGGCAGGTCTCATAAGCGGATTTATTACGCTCTCTTTGCGTACATTTGACTTTGTATGAAATTTCAGGAAGGTGTCAAAGCGCACGACCAGGTTTCACTTAGACATGGTCTCACACGACCTTTTAACGTGACTTTCCGTGATTTGTCACGTGGTGCCTCAAAGTAGGCCTTTGATCTAGTCGACACTACACTGCTTTTATTTTCAGTGGTGCTGAGACATAATCGCTATATGTGGTTACTGCATGGTCTCGCACTGCTTTGCTTCCCTCTTTCTATTTTTATTTGTCTTCTCGTGTATTGGCAGTCTTGTGCATATCTGTACAGCTTCGCTGTTTGACGCACCTCTGCTATAATCTTTGCAGCTTCGCTGTCTTCCTGTACAGCTTCGCTGTTTAGGTTCTTTGTGTTTAGGCCTGCTCCTATGGGAGCTCGAACCGGCCTTCGCAAAAGACGCGAAAAACCTGGTTGACGGTTTACCGCCGGCTCCCAGTGCTATTCGGGTTTGGGACGCTACCAGTGTAGCCGACCGACCTGGTATAACTTGTAGAGCTTCCCTTAGAGCGTTAGCGGCGAAGCTAGAAGAGTAATTCCGGGGCGCTGGAGGGTTAGTTGGCAAGAAACATCTCGATGGAGCTTTTCTTGACTTTTGCTTGGTTAAAAATTATGTTCTCGAAATTCAAAAATTCGTTAGAGCTCTAGTTTTTTTGCCGTGATTGTCGATTTTGTTTTCGCTCGCCGTCTAAATCTCAGGTCGATCGGGTAGCTATTACTGCCAAGAAGCATCCAGGCGGGATCGGCTGTTTCGAGGTATCTTGACAGGCGTTGTCGGTTTTCTTTACTTAACTCGATAGGAGAGCTACAGAGCATGTACGCATACGCAATGTATTCAGAATCACCAGGCGCGTTCGCCCGAAGCATCTAGACGTCTGAACTCGGTCTGCTTCTCGAGCTCGGTCCGCGAAAGTATTCGTACTCTATTTTTGTAGGAGATGATGATGCGCTTCTTGACTTAACTCGAGCCTCAGATGAGCTAAAGGGCTCTTCGGCGCAGCAATCGGAATGTTATGCTCATGCCCGCTAGTCTAAAGTATATAGACATCCGTACTCGGTCTGCTATCAACACTGGGGCCGAAAACATATTTGTACTCTCAAATTTGTTTGGAGATCGTGATGGTTTTCTTGACTTAATTCGAGCTGCAGACAAGCTACAGAGCTGTTCGGCTCAGCAATCGGAAGGGAGTCATCGGGCGCGATAGTTCTAAGTATCTAGACGCCTTAAATCAGTCTGCTATCAGCGCAGGGACTGAAAAACTGTCCCTCTTTTTTTCGATATGGTGACGGTTGTCTTGACTTAACTCGAGCTGCAGATGAGCTACAGAGCTGTTCAGCACACGAATCAGAAGGCAATATCAGGCGCGCTACTAGACACCTGGAATCGGTCTGCTATCAGCGTAGACACCGAACCACTATTCATATTCTGCGATATCTCTGACATGGAATTGGTTTTCTCGACTTACCTCGAGCCTCATATGAGCTTTAGAGCTCTTAGGCACATCAATCAGGAGGAATACATCAGGCGCGCTATTCCAAAGGAGCTAGACGCCTGAAATCAGTCTGCTATTAGCGCTCGGGCTGAACAACTATTTGTACTCTGCTAATTTCTTGGAGATGATAGGTTTTCTTCACTTAACTCGCGCTGCAGATGTGCTACAGAGCTGTTCAGCACAGCAGTCGGAAGGGAATGATCTGGGGCGCTGGTTAAAAGTATCTAGACGCCTGAAATCAGTCTGCTATCAGCGCTCGGGCTGAACAACTAGTCGTACTCTGCTAATTCCCCGGAGATGGTATGGTTTTCATGATTTAACTCGAGCTGCAGATGAGCGAGGAAACTCTACGAGTCTCCCGACGGTAACCAAGGTTGACGGTTCACCGCCGGCGCCCAGTTAAGATGGCGAGCGGGAGTAATACCTCGTAGAGCTCTTCGGCATCGATGAGCCAGAGGAATTCCGGCGCGGGGTGCAGCTAGTTGGCCCACCCGGCCCGGGCGGACAATGTGGTAATTTGGGTCGGTGTTGCTAAGATTTGAAAGTTATTTAACCATCTATGTTGAGAAACCAGATTTTTCGCACCTGTAGTGGGTTATGCCGCGTCTGCCGGTGCAATTTTCAGGTCCGTAGCTGCAATATCACTATCAAAAGACTTGGAGGAACCAAATTTGGGAAACATGAAAAACGTATTTTTTCGAGTTCCTCAGCTCATCCTTGAGAAAGCTTCTTCCATGTGTTCCGAGCAGCGCCGCGCAAGGAGAGAGCTCTACGAGGCTTCCGGCGGTATCCTGGTTGACGGTTTACCGTGGGGTACCAGTATATGTTGAGAAAACATACTAGAGCTCTAACGAGTTCAAATTTCGAGAAAACGAATTTATTTCGAGCAGCATTATGCAGACTTCCGTCCAGATTTTTTTTGCGAACTAGCCCTCCGACGCGCTGGACTTACTCCCTGGCTTCGCCGCTTCGCTCTTAGGAAAGCTCTACGAGTGAGAAATGACTCGTAAAGCTTCTCTAAGAGCGTTAGGGGCGAAGCTAGAAGAGTAATCCCGGGGCTAGCTGGCAAAAAAATACCGACCGAAGTTTTGCATACTTTTGATCGGTTTAAATTCGAATTCTCGAAATTTGAACATTCGTTGGAGCTATATTTTTTTTTTCCCCATCTTCGATCTCATTCCCGCTCGGATCTCAATCTCAGCTCGATCGGGTATCTATTACTGCCAAAAGCACTCCTGCGGGATCGGCTGTCTTTGGGTCATCGTGAGAGATGTTGCTGGTTTTCTCAACTTATCTCGATCTCCAGAGAGCTATAGAGCTGGTATGCACACCTATTCGATCCAGACTGATGAGGCGCGTTCGTCTGACGCATCTAGAGGTCTGAACTCGGTCCGCTATTCGATCTAGGTCCGCGAAACTATTCGTACTCTATTTGTTTCGAGATTCTGCTGAGTTTCTTGACTGAACTCTAGCTTCAGATGAGCTACATAGCTCTTTGGCAGAGCAATCGGACGGGAATCATCAGGCGCGATTGTCTGACGCATCTAGACGCCTGAACTCTGGCTGCTATTAGCGCTGGAGCCAAACAACTATTTGTACTCTGCTATTTTTTTGGAATGTGTGATGGTTTTCTGGACTTAATTAACTGCAGCTGCAGATGAGCTACAGAGCTGTTCGGCACAGCAACTGGACAGGGAATGATCAGGCGCGCTATTTCAAAGTATCTAGACGCCTGACCTCCGTCTGCTATTAGCGCTAGGGCCGAAACACTTTTGTACCCTGCTAATTTTTCTGGAGATGTTGATGGTTTTCTTGACATAGCTCGAGCTGCAGATGAACTACAGAGCGGCTTGGCACAACCATTGGAAGCAAATCATCAGGCGCGCTAGTTTAAAGTATCTAGACGCCTGACCTCGGTGTGCTATTAGCGCTAGGGCCGAAGCACGATTCGTACTCTGCTAATTTTTCTGGGGGTGGTGATGGTTTTCTTGACTTAACTCGAGCTGCAGATGACCTAAAGAGCTGGTCGGCACAGCAATCGGAAGGAATTCCTTAGGCGCGCTAGTTTAAATATTTAGACGCCTGATTTCGGTCAGCTATCAGCGCTGCGGCCGAAACACTATTCGTACTCTGTTAATTTTTTACAGATGGTGATGGTTTGCTTTACGCTGTTCGGCGCAGCAATCGGAAGAAAATCAACAGACGCGCTAGTTCAAAGTGTCCAGACGCCTGAACTTGGTCTGGTATTTCTATTAATTTCTTTTCGGAGATGCTTTTCCCTCACTTCTTCTTCTGTTCCACGTCCTCCTCCATGAGACCGCGCCCTCGCGCGTGCAATGCGAGATTGCCGCGCCCGCATTCCACGAGGAAGCTCTACGAGTTCCCGGCATACCGCCGGCTCCCACTTCAACTGAACAAAGTTTTTACTTACAAGCGAAAAAATTATCAGACGCGATAATCTCGAGTAATTTCGAGATTATCGCGTCTGACGATTCCCTTCCGACTGCTGCGCCAAACAGCTCTGCAGCTCATCTGCAGCTCGAGCTGCATCGAGAAACCCATCCACATCTTTCAAACAACAACAAACTACGAATAATTTGTTGGACCCGGCTCTGGTAGCAGACCGAGTTCGGGCATCTAGATACTTCAGACTAGAACTTCTAATGACTCTCTTCCGATCGCTGTGCCAAACAGCTCTGTAGCACATCTGCAGCTCGAGTTACATCAGGAAACTCATGAGCATATCCAAACAAATTAGCAGACCAGACTAACGCGCTTCGTCTACAGCTCGAGTTAAATGCAGAAGACCGACAGCACCTGCCAAGATGGCACGAAACAGCCAATTACGCCTGAGTGCTTTTTAGCAGTAATATGTACCTGATCGACCTGAGATTCCAATGGCGAGCGGAAGAAAATCGAATGCGAGAAGAATAAGTACGAGGAGATATAATATAGTAAAATGCATTGAAATCTAACACATTTAAGGGAAACTCCGTCGAGTTGTTTTGCCAACTGGTAGCCGGTGGTAAGCCGTTAACCTAGGTTTTTGCTTTGCGCAGAGCCATAGGCCCGAGTTCAGGCCCGCTCGAGTCACAGCCTAACGCAGATGGGGCGAAACAGGTCAATCGCCTGAAGGACCGCCGCCACACCGTTCAGAAGGTGCTTTCGATTATCCAGATTTAAAAACGACCCTTGAAATTTATCAGAATCCTTGAATCACGACTAAGGTTCCGACATGTATCCCGATGGCCGGCGGTTCCTCCTAACTGGGAGCCGGCGGTAAACCGTCAACCAGGTTACCGCCGGGAGCATCATAGAGCTCTTTTATCGCGCCGCGCTGCTTGGTATACATGGAGGAAGCTTGAGAATTGCATCGAACGCGCAATGATCGACTGCAGGGAACAAAAATCTGGATTTCGAAAACGAATTTTCAAATCTCTCAGAATCTTCGACAAACCAACCCAGGTCATCACATTGTCCGTTTTCGCGGGGTCGACCAACTAGCTCCACGCCGCGCCCGAACTCCTCTGAGCTCATCTGGTCGAAGAGCTCTACGAGGCATGAAAGGAAGCGTTGGAAGAATGCAAAGATCAAGAACCGATCCGCCGCCGCAACCTTCAGAGAAACGGCTCCGTTAAAGGAGCCATTCATTCCGAGAACGTTTGAAGCATTGATTGTTGATAATATGTAACTGGGGTTTTCCGCGCTGTCCCGAAAGCAGCGCCACCGACGTCGCGCCAGTGAGCAGGCAGGCAATTGTATGATACTAAAATCAACTTCTGAGTGCGCGCATATCTTCCAGATTTTCCTCGAATACATGACTGGATCGGTTCTGGTGAATTTCTTTCGATCGCTGTGCCGAACAGCTCTGTAGCTCATCTGCAGCTCGAGTTATCTCAAGAAAGACCATCTCTTACAACATTAGCAGTGTACGAATCGTGTTTCGAACCCAGCTCTGGTAGCAGACCGAGTTCGAGCATCTAGATACTTGACCAGCGCTTCCGATGATTTCCTTCCAAATACTGCGCCGAACAGCTCTGTGGCTCATCCGAAGCTCGAGTTAGATCAAGAAACTCAGCATCATCTCATATCAAGAAACTTAGATTTCGACCCAGCTCTAGTAGCAGACCGAGTGTGGGCATCTAGGTACTCGGGAGTAGAGCTTTTTTCCCCAAACAGCTTGCTGAACGGGGTGCTGTTGTGATAGAAGCTAATTCCGGCTGGGGGAAAGCTAAGCAGAGATACCTCAAACAAATGTGGTGGTCCGGCCCGTTTCGCCTGAGACATCCTCACAACTCTCGTTTCTGAGTTGTCCGGGATTGAGCGTTTCGCCTGAGACATCCTCCTAAATCTGAGCTCTGAGAGGCCGCGCGAGAGGTGGTCCGGGCCGTTTCGCTTGAGACATCCTCGAAACTCTGAGCTCCCAGATGCCGCGCGAGAGGTGGTCCGGGCCGTTTCGCCTGAGACATCCTCGCAACTCTGAGCTCCAAGATGCCGCGCGCGAGGTGGTCCGGCCCGTTTCGCCTGAGACATCCTCGAAACTCTGATCTCCCCGATGCCGCGCGCGAGGTGGTCCGGCCCGTTTCGCCTTTCGCCTGAGACATCCTCGAACTTCTGAGCTCTGAGATGCCCTGCGCGAGGTGGTCCGGCCCGTCTCGCCTGAGAAATCCTTGCAACTCTGAGATCTGAGATGCCGTGCGCAAGGTGGTCCGGCCTGTTTCGCACAAGATATTCTCGCAACTCTGAGCTCTCAGATGCTGCGCAAGAGGTGGTCCAGCCTGGGGGCCCAGAAGGCCACATGTTACATGTCCTCCATGGGACCCTGCGAGCCTCAGGAGGCCCCAGAGAGGTCCAGGAGGCCGCAGGACGCCCAGGACAGGCCCCAGGGGCCCCCAGGAGATTCCCAGGAGGCTCCCAGGAGGCCCCAGGAGGCCCTCTATCAGAACGTGTCAAGTTAATACACATCCGGTGTCGATTCGTTGATTTTTCCTGCTCTTGTGCCCCCCCCTCCATTTGGAGAGGCCCAAGCGGCCACAGGTTAGATATCCCCCCTGGGAGCCCCAAGATGCTTCAGGAAACCTCAGGTGGAGTTCAGGAGGCCACAGGAGGCCCAGGAGGAAGCTCCAGGAGGTCCCCAGGAGGCCCAGGAGGCACCAGGAGGCCGCAGGACGCCCAGGACAGGCCCCAGGGGTCTCCAGGAGATTCCCAGGAGGCTCCCAGGAGGCCCCAGGAGGCCCTCTATCAGAACGTGTCAAGTTAATACACATCCGGTGTCGATTCGTTGATTTTTCCTGCTCTTGTGCCCCCCCCTCCATTTGGAGAGGCCCAAACGGCCACAGGTTAGATATCCCCCCTGGGAGCCCCAAGAGGCTTCAGGAAACCCCAGGTGGAGTTCACGAGGCCACAGGAGGCCCAGGAGGAAGCTCCAGGAGGTCCCCAGGAGGCCCCAGGAGGCACCAGGAGGCCCCCGCAACTCGGAGCTCTGAGACGCCGCGCTCGAGGTGGTCCAGCCCGTTTCGCCTGAGACTTCCTCGCAGCACGTTTCGCCCGAGACATCGTCGCAACTCTGGGGTCCGAGATGCCGCGCGCGAGGTGGTCCAGCCCGTTACGCTGGAGACATCCTCGCAACTCTAGGCTCCGAAATGCCGTTCGCGATGAAGAGGAGGTGGAGGAGGAGGAGGAGGAGGAGGAGGAGGAGGAGGAGATGGAAGGGAGAAGGAGGAGGCGGATGATGTGCATGAGGGAGCAGGCAGGAGGAGGGGGAGGTCCCAGAGAGCTTCAGGAGGCCGCAGGACGCCCAGGACAGGCCCCAGGGGTCCGCAGGAGATTCCCAGGAGGCTCCCAGGAGGCCCCAGGAGGCCCTCTATCAGAACGTGTCAAGTTAATACACATCCGGTGTCGATTCGTTGATTTTTCCTGCTCCTGTGGCCCCCCCCCCCCCTGTATTTGGAGAGGCCCAAACGGCCACAGGTTAGATATCCCCCCTGGGAGCCCCAAGATGCTTCAGGAAACCTCAGGTGGAGTTCAGGAGGCCACAGGAGGCCCGGGAGGAAGCCCCAGGAGGTCCCCAGGAGGCCCCAGGAGGCACCAGGAGGCCCCCGCAACTCGGAGCTCTGAGACGCCGCGCTCGAGGTGGTCCGGCCCGTTTCGCCTGAGACTTCCTCGCAGCACGTTTCGCCCGAGACATCGTCGCAACTCTGGGGTCCGAAATGCCGCGCGCGAGGTGGTCCAGCCCGTTACGCTGGAGACATCCTCGCAACTCTGGGTTCCGAGATGCCTTTCGGGATGAAGAGGAGGTGGACGAGGAGGAGGAGGAGGCATGTTTTAACATGCCATGCCAGCCCGCACTAGGCGGGCACGCAATCGACCTTGGAAACCGCAGTGGGTCTAAAAACCCTGTTTGGGGATACTGCACTCCGGCTATAATTGTTGTTTTATCTTCTTTTTTTCCGATTGCTGTGCCGAACAGCTCTGCAGCTCATCTGTAGCTCGAGTTGCATCGAGAAAATCATGATCATCTACGAACATCATCGGGAGCGCTTGTTCCAAGTCTCTAGCTGTCTGAGACCCGTCTGATACCATAGCATTAAACAAACCGTTCGTACCCTGAGACCCTTCTGATACCATAGCATTAAACAAACCGTTCGTACCCTGTTAATTGTTAAGAGACGCTGATCGTTTTCTCTACTTCATTCGAGCTTTAGGCTGGCTGCAAAGCTGAGAAGCATTTTTCGAAGCAGAAGGTCTCCAGGTAAATTCGCCTACGAGATGGAGGCGCCCGGATTCGGCCTGCAACCGCAGCTACGACTGGGAGCATATTTTCGCACTGTAAGTATACAGCCAGCACAGATGTGCAAATTTGAGATCTGGGCCTGCTGCGGAGCTGAGATGCACGCTCATCGACAGGGAATGCTGCGAAGCATCAATCTGTCTACAGGCTTGACGGGAGCTGGAAAGCGCACTGTCAACAGGAAATCATCATTCCGTCGCCTCTAGTATCGAGACGTCAGACATTGGTCTGCCACCAGAGCTACAATGGAGCACTCTGCAGTATTTGGTGAGAGATTAATTATGTTTTCTGCGTGATATTCGGGCTGTAGGCTGCTGCTGCTCCTCCTTCTTCCCTCTTTCTTCCTTTCTCTCCTCCTTCTCCTCCTCCTGCCCCTCGTCGATCTCCTTCTCCCCCTCCTCCTTCGCCTCCTGCTCCTCCTTCTCCTCCCGCACTTCCCCTCCTCCTTCGCCTCCTTCTTTTCCTTCTTTCTCTTCCTTTCCTCGCGGCATCCTTCTCCTCCTGCTCCTCCTTCTCTTGCTGCTCCGTGTCCCGCCTTTCTCTCCCTATAGCCAGCCAGCCCAAGTGCGCAGACAGCGGGCCCCCCGACGGATGAGGCAAACGTTGCTATGCGCAGTCCACCTTTCGCAACATTTGCTTCAGAAGCGCCTGGCGATTGCCCTGGCCGGACCCCCCCCCGCCAGAGTGGGGGGCCATCTCCGAGGCCCGAGAGGCGGGCGGGCAGCCCAGGGGCGCAGTCCGCCGCCCACCCTCGCGGAGACGGAGCCGAGAACGGTGCCTGTAGCCCCTCCTCACCCTCTCGAAATGTGCTTGGGGAGTGCCCGGCGACAGCGGCGACGCTGCCGCCCCCCCCTGCCAGACCGTGGCGCCGCACTTGCCGAGAGCTCTCCTGGAACAGCCGCGAGCCCCCCGGGCGGGTGTGGCGGGGGCCAGGCGTTGGGTGCGGGGGCCGCCCGCGATCCCCTGCCGCAGCCGCCTGCGTCGGCGCGAAGCATTGCTGGGCCGGGGGGGGGGGTCCTCTTAGCCGCGGGGGGACTCTAGAACGGATGGAGCGCCGCCCCTGTCCCAAGTGTCATCTGCAACGACCCTCGGAATGCCATCGGGGCCCCGGCCGCCGCAATCAGGGGCGCGCTGCGAGCAGGCGGCGGGCCCAGTTCGGCCCGGGCCAGGTGTTGCCCTCAGCGCGGCTGGGGCAGGGGGGGCCCCGGCCGACGCGACGCCGCCTTCCTTCGCAGCTTCCGCCGCTCCCTGGCCTCGTCGCCCCCCTGATTCTCTCGCGGCTGCGCGGAGGGGCTTCTGCGGGCCCTCCATGCGTAGAGGCGCTTCTGCTGCGGATTGCGCACCTGGCCGCAGCGAGTGCTCCGTAACCGCCATTGCGCTTATTCGGTGCCCCCTCCGTTTGCCAGGTTATTGCAGGCATCGCATCCATCCGCCAGTAACTGGTGGTCTGGGCGCTGCCGCTCTCCGGCGGCGTGTGGCCCCGCCATGGCGGCTTGCGCATAGTGGGCCCTCCTGATCTCGGCTCGCGTCCCGCCGCGGTGGCCTCCCTGGCCCGCGTCGCTCCCGCTTTGGGCGTGGTTCTCCAGCTCCGCTTCGCCCGCCATCCACCGTCGCCCTCAGCTCCGTGCTGCTCGGCTGGAGTGGCTCCAGTTCTGGGTCGCCATTCTCCGTCGCTCGCTGGGCTGCGGTGTCGCTTGTCGTGGCGTTCTCGTGCTTGCCCGCCTTCCACTCCTCGCCTCCCGCCGCGCCTCGTAGGCCCGCTGGTCTCGGCGTGCGTGCTTGGTTTTCAGGCCGCCCGACCAGTTGCTGGTATTCTGGCCGCTGCAGCTTCCGTGGTACCTTGCCCCGCCGGTGGTTTGCTCCGCGGGCCCTTTGGCCTCGGAGCCTCGGCGCTCGCCCTGCCCGCTCCCCTGGGCCCGCCGCTCCCCCGTTTGACGTGGCCCCTCCTGCTTCTTCCCGGCCCCGGTTCGCGTCTTGCTTCGCCGGATCGTTGCCGCCTGCCTCCACGTCCTGCGCCTCGTAGGCTTGGTCTGCCGCGCCTCATGGGCCCCTAGGTCTCGGCGCTTTGGCTCCTCCCCTCGGCCGCGCTGATCGGCTCGTTGGGTGGAGTCTCTGCTTCGCGTGTGTTGTTCTCCCACCAGCCGCCCAGTCTGCTGGGCTGCGTCCCCTCCCAGCCTCAGCTCAGTGTAGCTCCGTGCAGCTCAGTGCTGGCGCTGGTTCCCCCCCTCGGCGCTCCCCCTGCCGCAGTCGGCGAGTCTGAGTGGGCCCGGCTTCTTCTCTTCCTGTCGCGCCGGGGCCCCTCCTCCATCTCCCCCTCCTCCTCCTACGTGCATGGCGGCCTTAATTTGCATGCGGCGCGTCCCCTGTTGCCCATCCGTCAGAGCAGTCGCCCTCTGCCCAACCGCCGACGCAAAGTGTTTTTGTGTGTATGTGTGTATGCGTGCTTGTTTGTTGTGTTTAAGTATCTATATACATACCAGAGTGAGGGGGCCCGAACGGTCATTCATTGTCCCTGCGTGCGTGGCTGAAGTGAGACTCCGTGGTGAGGTATCGGCATGTTGCGTTGTTGCTGTTGTTGTTGTTGTTGTTGTTGTTGTTGTTGTTGTTGTTGTTGTTGTTGTTGTTGTTGTTGTTGTTGTTGTTGTTGTTGTTGTTGTTGATCTTGTTGTTGTTGTTGTTGGTGGTAGTTCATTCCTAAGCAATTACAAGTGTTGGACCCGTTACAGGCGCCCTGGCGCTCTCGCCGAGGCGCCGGCTACATTCTCATGGAAACTGAGGCTCGCGCTCGAGCGGCTTGGAGGGCCGCCGAAAGCGGCCCCAAACAACAACGACGCCCTTGGACTGGCGCGCTAGTCTTCCTCTCGTCGGTGCCGCCCCCAGCAAAAACAACGCTCCCGCTCGAGGCTTCTTCCCGTTTCTACGCAAGGCGGTGCTCCTCCTCGCCGCCGAAAGCCGCCGCCCCGAGAAAACCAGCGCTCCCGCCCGAGACTTCCATCCGTTTTACATTGGACTGGCGCCCAACACTCTTTTGAATTGGTGCCGCTCCAGCAGGAATAACGCCCCCGCTCGAGGCTTCCTTGTGTTTTCATGAGAACGGTGCTGTTCCTCGCCGCCGACAACCCCCGTCCCGACAAAACCACGGCCCCCGTTCGATGTTTCCTTCCATTCTTATTCACGGCGGTGTTCCTTCTCGCCGCCGAAAACCGCCGCCCCGACAAAACCGGCGCTCCCTCCCGAGACTTCCTTCCGTTTTTCGGTGGCCTGGCGCTGTATTTTCTTCTGAATGGGCGCCGCTTCCAGCGAAAACAACGCTCCCGCTGGAGATTCCTTTCTTTTTTTCTCGGGGCGGTGCTATTCCTCGCCGCCGACAGCCCCCGTCCTGACAGTGCCATGGCTCCTGCTCGATGCTTCTTCCCTTTCTTATTCAAAGCGGTGTTCCTCCTCGCCGCCGAAAGGCGCCGCCCCAACGAAACCAGCATAACCGCTCGAGACATCGTTTTGTTTTATGCTGGACTAGCGCTCTACTCTCTACAGCATTGGCGCTGCTCCCAGCAACAGCGGCAGCCCTGTTCGAGACTTTCCCCTTTTCTATTCAGGACCAGGTCCTTGCCTCGCTGCTGACAGCCCCCATTCCCGCCAGGGCAATCCTGTCGTTCGATGCTTCCTTGTGCTGTGCCCTTTGCTGGGGTTCCATTGGCGGTCTCGCATCGGCGCAGCAAGACGCGGGTGTGTGTCTCCGAGGTGGGATCTGTTGACATTCCTCGGAGGAGGTGTTTGCAAGATTTCATTGGGCGGGAGATTTGGGAATGGGAGTATCGGGCCCCGCTATATACAAGCCATTATGGTCGCATGATTCGTGTGCGAGTGCGATTATTCCGTGTGCGAGTGCGATTATTCCGTGTATCCAATATGCAGGTTTCAATCGGAATCCAATTATAATCAGCCTCGGATACACGGAGCAATCGAGTGCGATTACTCCGTGTATCCGATATGCAGGTTCCAGTAATAATCCAATTGGAATCTGCCTCGGATACACGGAGTAATCGAGTACGATTACTCCGTGTATCCAATATGCAGGTTCCAGTAGAAATCCAATTCGAGTCTGCCTCGGATACACGGAGTATTCGCGTACGATTACTCCGTGTATCCAATATACAGGTTCCAATAGGAATCCAAGTAGAATCTGCTTCGGATACACGGAGTAATCGAGGTCAATTACTCCGTGTATCCAATTTGCAGGTTCCAATAGGAATCCAATGAGAATCTGCTTCGGATACACGGAGCAGTCGAGTGCGATTACTCGGTGTATCCGATATGCAGGTTCTAGTAGGAATCCAATTGGAACCTGCCTCGGATTCACGGGGTACTCGAGGTCGATTTCTCCGTGTATCCAATATACAGGTTCCAATAGGAATTCAATGATAACCTGCATCGTGTACACGGAGTAATCGAGTGCGCGCCGTAGGCAGAAATTCATCATTTCCAAAAACATTTTTTTTTTTTTTTTTTTTTTTTTTTTTTTTTTTTTTTTTTTTCCGGCGCCGCCGCAGTGCGATGAATCCGTGCATCCAATATGCAGGTTCCAATGGGAATCCAATTCGAATCTGCCTCGGATGCACGGAGTAATCCAGTGCGATTGCTCCGTGTATCCAATATGCGGGTGCCAGTAGGAATCCAATTAGAATCTGCCTCGGCTACACGGAGTAACCGAGGTCGATTACTCCGTGTATCCACTATTCAGGTTCCAATCGGAATCCAATTTGAATCTGCCTTGGACACACGGAGTAATCGAGGTCGATTACTCCGTGTACCCAATATACAGGTTCCAATGGGACTCCAATGAGAATCTGTCTCGGGCTCACGGAGTAGTCGAGTGCGATCACCCCGTGTATCCAGTATGTAGGTTCCAATTGGAATCCCATTAGAATCTGCCTCGGATGCACGGAGTAATCGGGGTCGATTACTCCGTGTATTCAATGTGCAGGTTCGAATAGGAATCCAATCAGAACTTGCCTCGGATACACGGAGTATTCGAGATCGGTTACTCCGTGTATCCAGCATACAGGTTCTAACAGGGATACAATTAGAATCTGCCCTGGATACACGGAGTAATCGAGATCGATTACTCCGTGTATTCAATATACAGGTTCCCACAGGAATGTAATTAGATGCAGTCTCGGGTACACGGAGTAACCGAGGTCGATTACTCGGTGTATCCAATATGCAGGTTCCATCCAATGAGAATCTGCGTTTGATACACGCAGTGATCGACGTCGATCACTCCGTGAATCCCATATACAGGTCCCAATAGGAATCCAAGTACCATCTGCCTCGGGTACACGGAGTAATCGAGGTCGATTAGTCCGTGTGCCCAATATAGTGGTTCCAATAGGAATCCACTTATAATTTGCTTCGGATACACGGAGTAACGGAGTATTCGAGAACGATTACTCCGTGCATCCAATATGCAGGTTCCAATAGGAATCCAATTAGAATCTGCCTCGGGTACACGGACAAATCGAGTGCGATTGCCCCGTGTATCCAATTTACAGGCTCCACTCGTAATCCAATTGGAATCTGCCTCGGGTACACGGGTTCCAATAGGAATCCCATTAGAATCTGCATCGGGTACACGGAGTAATCGAGGTCGATTACTTCGTGTATCCAAAATGCAGGTTCCAGTCGGAATCCAATTAGAATTTGCTTCGGACGCACGGAGTAATCGAGTGCGATGATTCCGTGTATCCAATATGCAGGTGTCAATCGGAATCCAATTAGAATCTGCCTCGGGTACACGGAGTAATCGAATGCGATTACTCCGTGTATCCAATTTGCAGGTTCCAAGCGGAATTCAATTGGAATCTGCCTCGCATACACGGAGTAATCGCGGTCGATCACTCCGTGTGTCCAATATGCAGGTTCTACTAGGAATCCACTTAGAATCTGCCTCGGATACACAGAGTACTCGAGTGCGATTACTCCGTGTATCCAATATGCAGGTTCCAATCGGCATCCAATTAGAATCTGCCTCGGATTCACGGAGTAGTCGAGTGCAATTTCTCCGTGTATCCAATTTTTTGCAGGTTCCAAGAGGAATCCCCTTAGAATCTGCCTCGGATACACGGAGTAATCGAGGTCGATTGCTCCGTGTATCCAATATGCAGGTTCCAATAGGAATCCAATCATAATCTGCATCGGGCACACGGAGTAATCGAGGTCGATTACTCCGAGTATCCAATATGCAGGTTCCAATAATAATCCAAGTTGAATCTGCTTCGGATGCACGGAGCAACCCGTGACCCACCCGCGACCCGCCCCGCGACCCACCCGCGACCCGTCCGCGACCCACCCCGCGACCCACCCGCGACCCACCCCGCCGCCCATCCGCGACCCACCCGCGACCCACCCGCGACGCACTGGCGACCCACCCGCGACCCACGCCGCGACCCACCCGCGACCCACCCGCGACCCACCCGCGACCGATCCACACTAGTTTGAAGAAAAGCTCGGCGCCTGTGGCGGGCTCGTTGTATAATTTGTGAAACTTTGGCGTTTGCGGCAGGCTCCACCCGAGTCTCGCAGACTGCCGACGTCCCAACCGCCCCCTCAGTCTTATCCGCATCTGCGGGGTGATGCGCATACGCCACTATATATATATGTTGTTTCTTTCTATCTTTCTTTCTCTGTCTCTGTCTCTTTCTCTCTCTCACACTCTTTTGTTGTTTTCTCTATCTCTCTTTGTCTCTCGTTTTTCCGTTGCATGCCGGTGCTTATCTATATCATTCAGGGGTAGCTTTCGAGTCGGGAGCGGTTCCTGCAGTTTCGGACAGCGCTTCCACCAATTCGTGGTGATTGGCACTGTCGCGTATGTCCACCTTTCTCAAACCTCTGTCGAAACCGTCGACTCAATGCCCTGGGGCTGCTTCACTTGTGGCGGATGGTCACACTCTGTCCAGATTGTTGCTTCTTCGAAACATGTCAAAGCTTTTCCAGCTGGCTCGACGGGAGGTGGAACAATGTGCTTGGTGGCTTGAGCTCCAATTGAACAGCATTCAATTCGAGGGTCCAAAGGAATGTTTGCTCCAGATCAACGCTCCGAGCAATCTCATTCTAGTTTGTTATGCTTCTTTGCTTGAGAAATAAGAATTCTCCAGGGTGGGGCGACACGGTGCTTACTTTAGTGCTCACCGTCTGTTCGTGCCGCGCCCGCCTCTGAACCCAGAGAGGTGACATAGTCAAACAATTGCGACACTGAAGTGAGCTGATGACATTCTGGGCTTGTAAGATCAGGGCCGAGACGTCCAGACAGTACTCTCAGGCATATGCTGATTCTCCTCCGTGGCACCGTCGTTCGAAATATCGCGCGCTGTTGCTATTTCCTTGTTGTTGATCCTCTTGTGAAAGACGCTCACGTCGCTGAATTGTCGACGCGGAGGACCCCAATCTTATGCAGGATATTTGGAGATTCGAAAATGTTTGTGCGCATGACGTCCAAATTCAACTTCAGTTCGGGCGACGTTGTTCACATGAACCTGGTTGTTTTTTCAGCGAATGGACCGTTTGAAATTCACATGTGACTCACCTGGGCACGCTGCGGATGAAGAGCTGGCACCACTGATTGTTGATGGTCGGGCTGTTCTGGCCAAGCGGGAAGCAGCCGATGAAACTCTTGGTATGAAGGCTTGTGCCACTAACGAGGCAGTATCGTATGCTTAAGAAATGATTGTTGTACATGCGTCCTGCCTGAGTTTTCAACATCAAAGGTTGACGAGCATCTGAAAGCGAATTGATTCATGCATCTGTTTGCATTGTGTGTTTGGTTTGCGCACCTCTTCGTTTCAATCGCTTATGTTGTGCATCTTGCGTCTCACCAGGTCGGCTGTTTTACGTTGGTTGTATTCTCCTTTCTTTAATTTTTCGTGTGCATGCTCCGTGTGATTGCTTCGTGTAGATATGATATCCATTCAGGACGTGTTGGTAATGCACTGTCGTCTGTAATGTCACGTGTGAGATATAATCTAGCTGTTCCTGTTTGCGCAATATGTTTTTAACAGCCTGCACTTCACGCTGCTTGGTACATCGGGCCTCTCTGAAATGGGCTCGTGCCCTTTAGGATTGTACCTTTTTGGGTAAAACTTGGCTCTCATCTGTTTGAGGCGCCCTTATAATTTGATCTACAATGTTGTAGATCGTCGCTTAGGTTTCGTATCTACTGGTTTGTTCTCTGCCCGTTGGCATTTTTTTCGCGGCATTCCACTCATCCCTGTTCTATTTTGTATTTCATGCCGTCTTTGGAAGACAACGTAACTCATCGAGTGGCCTGCGGTTTCGTGACGGCTGTTAGTTTTCTCTGGTCGGGTTGGTTTCTTCAGTCTTTCAGGTTTCTCGTTCACACCCACACTTAATGGAAGAGTGGGTGTCGTCGCGCGTTTGGCGTGTCGTTCTCTGGTCTCCTCTCTCTTCCTGCAGGCGTGCTGTTGTGGCTTGTAGTGGCTCTCGTTGTACGAACATGCCTTTTGTCTCAATGAACGCGTCATTATCTCTGGATTTTTTTTTTGATTTCCCTCGTTTTCTCTTTCTCTCGCTCTCTCTCCTCCTGTCTGCTCCTGCTGCTCCGGCGCCTGCTCTGTCCCTTAAGCCTCCCGCCATTCCCTGCCTCCCTTTTTCGCTCCCTTTCTCCCTGGATCTCCGTCGCCCTCGTCCTTCCCTCTTCCAGTCACTCCCTGCTTGACTCCCCTCTCCTTTCTACTACGCGTATCCGTCGCCAACGGCCTCAAGTTCGTGCGCGTCGCTGAGAAACGCCCCCCCTTAGCCCGCAGCATCTGCCATGACGCAGGGTGCCAAGGCCAGCCGTGGGGGGACAGATGCGAGTGGCGGGGGATAAGCAGGATGAGGGGGAATGGGCGGGGGAGGATGATGATGGGTGGAGGGGGATGACGGGGAGGAGGGCGATCAGGAGGGTGACAGCAGGAGGAGGAGAAGGAGGAGGAGAAGCATGATCACAAGGATGAGAATCGAGAGGAGGACGTGGAAGAGGAGGAAGAAGACTGATGAGTAGGAATAGGAAGATGATGACGACAGAGGCGACGGATGTTGACAATGCGGATAATGAGAGGGACATGGGGACGACATTTGGGGAAGGGAGGGGAGGGGTGCCAAGAGGTAGTACAGAGAGGAGCGCACCAACGAGGAGGGAGGATGAATCGAAAGGGGAGGGGGCATGACGAGGAGGTCGAGGCAGGAACGGACGCAGGATGCGTGAAATTGGAGGGGGGGGAAGGACGATGCGAGAGGATGAGGTAGATCGTGCTGAGGATGAGGAGGGACATAAGGATTAGTAGACACGTGGAGGATTAGAAAATGGGGGGAGAGGAGTTGAGGTGTTTGTGTGTGTGTGTGTGTGTGTGTGTGTGTGTGGAGGCAATGATGATGGCGGTGGTGGTTGTGATCATGACGACGATGACAATCACGACGGCGATGCTGCTGCTGCTGCTGCTGATGATGATGATGATGATGATTTCGAGGAGGAAACTCTGGAGTGCGAAGATGATGGTGATTCTGATGATGATGGTGATGATGATGATGCTGATGATGACACTGACAATGACTATGCTGATGACGAGTATTTCGGTAATGATGAATGTGCTGCTGATTATGATAACGATGACGAGGTTGTTGTTGATGCTGATGGTGGTATTGGTGCTGGTGCTGCTTGTGGTAATGTCGATTGCAATGATGGTGCTGGTAATGATGCTGATGCTGATTCTGATGTTGTTGATGCTGATGCTGATGGTAATGATGACGACTGTGATGATGACGATGGTAATGATGATGAGGTGACGACGATGATGATGATGATGCGACTTGTGCTGCTGATGATGACGGCGCTGGTGATGATGCTGCTTCTGCAGATGATGATGAGGCTGATCGTGTTGATAATGATGCTGATGATGAGGATGATGGTGATGATGCTGATGATGATGCTGATGATGATGATGATGATGATTATTATTTCTACTATACATAGTCTTATTCTTATTGTTGTTGTTATTGTTATTCTGATTGTTCTCAGTACTACTATGATTATGATGGTGACGATGGTCGTGGTGGTGATGATGCTGCTGATGATGGTGACGATGCTGATGTTGATGATGATTATGCTGTTGATGCTGATGCTGCTGCGGCTGACGAGGATGATGAGGATGAAGAAGAGTACTATGCATAAGGAAACTAACAATAACACGTAACACCCCGCAGATGCGGATACGAGTGAGGGGGCGGTTGGGACGTCGGCAGTCTGCGAGACTCTGGAGAAGCCCGCCGCAGGCGCCAAAGCTCCACACATTAGACAACGAGCCCGCCGCAGGCGCCGATTTTTTCTTCAAAACAATGTGGATCGGTCGCCGGTGGGTCGCGGCGTGGGTCGCAGGTGGGTCGCAAGTGGGTCGCGGGTGGTTCGCGGATGTGTTGCGGCGTGGGTCGCAGGTGGGTCGCGGGGTGGGTCGCGGGTGGGTCGCGGATGGGTCGCGGGGTGTATCGCGGGGTGGGTCGCGGGTGGGTCGCGGGTTGGGTCGCGGGTGGGTCGCGGGGTGGGTCGCGAGGCGGGGGGGGGGGTCGCGGGGGGTGGGTCGCGGGGTGGGTCGCGGGTGGGTCGCGGGGGGGGCGACGACAAACAACAACAACAACACCAACAACAACAACACCAATTACTAGCACGTGGGGACACTCCGTTCTCACCAGTGCCAGGGTTTTCATAGGAGGCGGGCAATACCCCCACTTTGTGGGGGGGCCGGTTCAAGCTCTACCAATTTCCAAACGACTCTTCGCCACCACCCACACCCAGCTTCCCGCCCTATGACGTTCGGACACTTCACTTCGTGGCCTGCGGACGACCTTGGCTACTACACTGGCGCATGGGTACAGTGACTTGTTGTGGTAACATTTTCTGTAAGCTAGCTTAGTATACGACTTTTCCCCCTGTTCCAACACTGGACACCTGTACTGGTTTTTCGTGGTAACATGTTCCTGACGCTAGAATAGGAACCCACGGTAAACCAGTACGACGACGACGACGCGACGACGCGCGCATGTGTCCCGCATGGTATTTTTTGCAAAGTTGTGGCCCCTGGCAGGCGCGCGAACGCCGTTGAAAAAGCGTGCGAAAGTAGCTCGCGCGAGCTCATGTAACATAAATGTTGAATATATATATATATAATATCGGACAGCGCGCGCGGGTAGAAATTTGGAAAATCCGTGCGCGCGTTTTTCGAGGACCTACGGTGCGATTCGTGCGATTTTATGATACGCGGTGCTGAAATTCTTAAGAAACCCAATGGTGTTTGAAGATTTCGGCGTGCGCGCGCGAAGAAAAAACGAATGTGTCCCATATGGTATTATTTGACAGGGATGATGGCCCTGGCATGCGCGCAACCGTTGTTGCAGAAGTTCGAAGCACGTGAAAAAGTTGCTCGCAAGAGCCCGTTTGACAGAAATGTTGAAAAAGTATTGGGTTTCCTAAGAAATCCGCAAGAGCGCGCGGGATGAATTTTTGATTTTTTTTTTTTTGAAAAACCATTGGGTTTTTCATGTTTTTTATGTTAAAATCGCTACGAAAACTATGGTTTTGGAAGGATTTCATCTTGCGCGCGCGAGTGTGCACTTCGTGTTTTTTTGTGCAAAGGATTCTTGAAGTTTGGTTATGTTAGAACAAGACATGTCATTATATATTGTTTTTTGACAGGGAAAGCGGGCGTCAACAAAACAACCGGATCCGGACTCCCCCGTTTTGCCTGAGACTTCCTTACGAAAGTGATGAAAATGTGGCTGCGGCCTAGGCGCGGCGAGGGGGGCGTGCACCAGGGGGCCCAACAATAATTATTCTTTAGAAGTAATAATATTCAACAACAACAACAACACCACCAACAACAACAGCAGCACCACCACCACCAACAACAACAACACCAACAACAAACAACATCAGCAACAACACCACCACCAACAACAACAGCACCACTAACACTAATAACAACCCCAACAACAACACCAAAAACGTCACAAGCTATAACAACAACGGTAGCAACAACACCAACATCAGCACCACCACCAACAACAACATCAACTACAACAAAAGCAACAATAACAGCAACAGCAATGCAACAAGCAGAAAACTCACCACGGATTCTCACTTCAGCCACGCACCCTGTGACAATGAATGACCGTTCGGCCCCCTCACTCTGACTATTCATAATAATAACACGAACAATAAGAAGCGAAGGGTGATGATTAGGACGACGAGCAGGATCGGGCCCTGCGGCCTCCCTATCTCGATCTTGAGGCCTTGTTGTGGGCATCTTGGGCAGTCTTGCCCCCCCCCCCCGAGCCGTCTTGGGTGTCTCTTTGGGCCCTCTTGGGCGGCCTCGCAGCCTCCCAAATTGACGTCCTTGGGCCCTCACAGTCGCCCAAGGCGCAACAGTCATTGGGTCCCTGCTCTCCTGTCTTGTTGAAATCCCGCTTTCAATTCGCAGCGCCACGCGTCTCCTCACTCACGGGTCGTTCACCACAGGGGTCCCTCCGCCTATTGCGGGACACCCCTGACACGGATCGAGGTCGCCCGTGTGCGATCCATCCGCCTATTTCGGGACACCCGAGTGCGGTCCCTCCGACAATTTCGGCACACCTCTCACACGGATCGTGCCCGATAGGGGGCTTCGCCTACGGCACCACTTAGGGCGCCCGCAAGCTGTTCTTTTTTTCATGTTGGCACACCCCTCACACGGATCGTGCCCCGTAGCCTGAGGCGCCAGTGAGGGCGCCCACATGCGGTCCTCCGCTGTTTCTCTCGTGCGTCCCTGTTTGGTATTTAAGCTTGAGAACAGGCCGCTTGGAAGGATATTACACCCTGTTGCTGCTGAGTAGTTTCCTAGTCGACCTCTCTATAAATTCTGCATATCGAGGACGTTCGCGCTTCCCCCGGATCCACAATATCCAGGTCAATGACGACGATGATGATGGTGATGATGTCAGAGAGGGGGGAACATGATGATGAGGGATGGGTCAGAAACGTGATGTTAAAAAAAGATGCCGCTCGAATCTCGGATGAGTTTCCTGATGGATGGACAGTCGTCTTCTTCTTCCCATTCTTTCCCTCTGCTCTGTGCTGCCCTCTCCCTCCCCTTCCCCCCCCCCCGCCCCCGTCCACCCCTCCCTTCTCGTCCTCCTGCACCTCGTCCTCCGTAGGCCCGCCCGTCTCCCTCCCCGCCCCCTCCTCTTTCCTCCCTTTTCCTCCTCCGCGCCCTCCTCTTCCTGCTCACTTCCCGTTTTCCTTCTGCCGCGTTCTCTCGTGCTCCTCGACGCTGTCGTCGCCCCCCGCCTCCTTCTCCTCATCCTCGTGTTTCTGTTCCTTCACCTGCCTTCCCAGCAATGCTCCCCCCTCCTCCTCCTCCTCCTCCTCCTCCTCCTCCTCCTCCTCCTCCCCCTGCCCCTCCATCAATACTTCTCCTGCGCCTGCTCCTGCTCACCTCTTTCGTCCCCCATCCTCTTTCCCTTCGCCGTCCCCGTCCCCCTGTCCCCCTTCGTCGTTGTCGTCCTCCCCCCTGTCTCTCTCTGTCTTTCTCTCTCTCTCTCTATCTCCCTCTCTCTCTTTTTGTGTCGCTCTCTCTCTCTCTCTCTCTCTTCATCTCTTGTTTTCTTTCACCCCCCCTCTCTCTATCTTTCTTTCTTTCTCTCTCTCTCTCGCTTTCTCTCTCTCTCTCTCTCTCTTTCTCTCTATTTCGGTTTCTTCCCTCTCTCTCTATATCTCTCCTCTTCTTTCTCTCGCTTTCTGTTGCTGCTGCTGCTCGGCCCTTTCCAGCCTCGTACTGCTTTCTCCTGCGCTCTCTCCTGCCCTCCTCCCTTCCCCCCCCGGCGAACCTCGGCCGTGGAGTTCAAATTGAGCCCGGCGCTTGCCCGGCAGTAGGGGCTTGACCCCTCCTTCGTGTACGGCCGATCCGATCCGATCCACTCCCCCTCCCCTTCCCACTCCTCCCCCCTCCCCTCCCACTCCTCCCCCGTCCCAGTCCTCCGCTCCGATCCACTCCTGCTCCCCCTCCCCCTCCCACTCCTGCCCCTCCCGCCCTCGTCCAACCTGGTCTCCTCTTCCTCCCGCCCTCTCTCCCTCCGTTCTCCCCCTTCCCCTTCCCTCTGCCTGGAGGGTGACCGTTTTCGAAATCGTGTTCTCGCCTTGGCCGCCCCAGCCCCGCGCACATTGATTTTGGAAGTTCGCACCGCCTTCGCGGATGCAGGGCGACTGCTTCTCAAAGCGGGGCTCTCGCCGCAGCGCCGCGGAGCACTCGCCCGAAGTTCTTGCAGCAGTTTCAATGGGCTGAGCACTGGTCGTCTTCAAGCTGGGGCTCTCGCCCGAGCGCCGTGCACCCTGGTTTTGTATCGCAGCGCTGCGCAGGATGGGGGATATCAGTTTTTCAAAATCGCGTTCTCGCTAGAGATTTCGTTCCGTTTGAGACTCCGAGCCTTCACCGCACGTAGCGCTGCAAGGACGCATGGTGGTTGGCTTTTTTCGGCATGGAGTTGTCGCTGGGAAGTATTTCGAACTTCGGGGCCACACGTGAAAACATGTGCAACCGTTGCACGGTTAGGGGAGGGGGGCTGTTCTTATTCGAAAGGGGGATCTCGCTGGAGACCCCGTTGAATTCTATGATGATGGTTTTTGCGCTCAGGCTTGCGCGGCAACAAGACTCTAGACCATTCCTTTCAACGCAGGGCCCTCGCCATAATGGAAGGCTCAGCAGGGCTGGTCTTTCAAAGGGGGGTGCTTCTTGTAGTGAACAGGAGTAGGGGCGCGTGAGTATGGGGCTTGTGACGGGACGGTGTACAAGCGGCATCGCTTATGCATCTTTTGTCCTCTGGTCTTTTCTCCTGCTCTTTTTTCTTCTTCCTGCCTTTTTTCCCCTTGGCAGGATGGGGGAATGTTTTTTCCCTACATACATATAGATATCCGTAAGGGCTTCGCCCCCTGCCGCCGACCCCCTGTCTCGGAGAATGGGCCATGGAAGCGCTAAATCATGCGGTCTGGGCGCCGCCGTGAAGCAGTGTCGGGACCTGTTTGTTTTTCGACCCTGACCCTGCGGATCCGCGTCACGGGTGCCACTGGATTTCAGAAATGTGGCAAATTCCTTGTGTTTTTCGACCCTGACCCTGCCGATCTGCGTGAGGGGTGCCGCTGAATTTTAGAAATGTGGCAAATCCCGTGTGCTTGTGGACCCTGACCCTGCCGATCTGCGTGAGGGGTGCCACCGAATTATAGAAATGTAGCAATTCCTTCGTGTGTTTTGGACCCTGACCCCGCCGATCTGCGTGAGGGGTGCCACAGAATTTCAGACATGTGGCAAATCCTTTGTGTTTTTGGACCCTGACCCCGCCGATCTGCGTGAGGGGTGCCACCGAATTTCAGAAATGTGTCAAATCCTTTGTGTTTTTGGACCCTGACCTCGCCGATCTGCGCGAGGGGTGTTTCCGAATGTTAGACATGTGGCAAATCCTTTGTGTTTTTGGACCCTGACCCCGCCGATCTGCGTGAGGGGTGCTAGCAAATTTCAGAAATGTGGCAAATCCCTAATGTTTTTGGACCCTGACTCCGCCGATCTGCGTGTTGGGTGTCAATTTTTACCCACCCCAGCAATTCAGACAATACGTTTTGGCCGTGGTCAAAATGTACGTTTTGGGCCTCACCCCCTCGCGCGTTCCATCAACAAGGAGCAGTAAGCAGCAAGAAGCAGAACTGTAACAGGGAACAGTCAGCAGCAAGAAGCAGAATTTTAACAGTGGAAACTGAAAGCTGCAACTGGTACAGGAAAATGCGAACCTTCGCCCTACAGCCTGGTGGCCCCACAAGGGGGCCGTCGGATATAGATATATCAAAGATGGAGTTGTGGCCTGAGACTTTGTGAGGTGTGAAAGGCGCGAATCTTCAACGCACGTCGCTGCACGGATCCATGGCGGATCATTTTCAAATTGGAGCTGTCGTTTGAAACTTCCTCGACGGTCTTGACCTGCACGGGTGATGGGGGGCTGTCCTTCTTCGACAGGGGAACTTCGGCGGGCACCTTGTTGGACTGTATAGTCATGGTTTTTGCGCTCCTGACTACGCGCCAGCAATCTGAAAGGCAGTTCTTTTTCCAAACCGGGATCTCGCCCGGCAGTGCTGGTCTTTCAGGGGGGGGGGTCTGGGACGGGAGGGTGTGCTGCAGCATCGCATGTGCATCTTGAGTTCATTCTGGCCCTCCCGCCTCCTCCCCCTTCCGTCCTTGTCCCCCCCCCCTCCCCCCTCCTTCCATCTTCCTCCCTCCCTCCCCCCCTCCACCCCGTCAACCGCGATTGCCTTGGCGCCCCTGCCTCCGACGCGCAGGCGCTGGTCTGCGCGCTCGCCTGCGCGGGCGCCTGCCTGCTGCTCCGCCAGGCCGCCTTCGCGGCCCCTGGCGGCGCGGCCGCCACCACCTCCGCCCCGCGGGCGCTGCGCGGCGCAGGGGCGGCGGCGCCGCACGAGGCACTGGGCCCCCCTTGCGAGGATCGGGGAGGGAGGCGGTGCTGATGCGGATGCGGATGCTGATGCTGGCCCTGATGCTGATGATGCTGATGCCGAGGAGGAGGATGGGGAGGGGGAGGGGGACGGGGAGGGAGAGGGGAAGGAGGAGGAGGAGGAGGAGGAGGAGGAGGAGGAGGAGGAGGAGGAGGAGGAGGAGAGGAGGAGGAAGGAGGAGGAGGAGGGGCAGGGGTCGAGGAGGACGAACACGACGGGCTTGGGAGGACGCGCGCGATGAACACGATACCCCTCCTGGGGCCCAGCCTGGCCAGTTCTTCGAGCTCCGCTCAGCCGTGGTGACGAGGAGGGCCCCCCCGAAAGCCGAGCACGGGCAGGCAATCTCCGATCTCCGACCTTCGACCCTCGACCGCCGCGGAGGCGGCTGGGGCTGGCTCCTCCGCGTCCCCGCTGAGCCTCGGCCTTGCCGTGGGCCTCGCTGCCGGCCTGGCGGCGGTGGCGCGCCGCAGCGCGGCCCGCTTCGGGGGGTCGCCGCCGCCGCCGCGGCCGTCGCCACAGCAGCCGCCCTCGTCGCCGTCGCCGTCGCCGTCGCCGTCGCCGGCGCTGTTATAGTTATCGTCGTCGTCGTCGTCGTCGTCGTCGCCGTCGCCGTCGCCGTCGCCGTCTCCTGTCGTCGTTGCCGTCGTCGTCGCCTTGGTCGTTTTCGTCTTCGTTTTCGTCGTCGTCGTCGTGGTCGTTTTCGTCGTCGTCGTTTTCCTCGTCGTCGTCGTCGTCGTCGTCGTAGTGAAACTACTACGACGACGTTCTCGTCGTTGTCGTCGTTCTCGTCGTTCTCGTCGCTGTCGTCGCCTACTCCTTGCCCTTCTTCCCCTGTCCTCATGCTGTGCTGGGCGTCTTCTTGAAAGTGTAACTTATCATAGAGTAATGCGCATTTTGTTTTGATGAGTTTGCTATTTGTGTAGACATTTGGAAACGGTGGACAGGGTCATGTGAGAGTAGTATCACTTTCAATGCCCACCTGTTGACTTTATCTGGCAGGTACTGGCAAAACAGAGTGGTTGCACAGTGGGCGCGGAGTCAGCAGTACGGATCCACCAGCCTAGGTTAAATACTTGTGAAATCGGGAGCAATGCAGCTGGCCAGCGACCACCTAACAATAATCAACTTGCAATGGGCAAAGGGCGACTGGCAAAGAGCGACGAGCATCTAGCATGAGCAATACTGAATGCACCGTCGATAATTGTCATGGGACGCAGAGTCGATACCACCGAACATGTGAGCATGCTAGCGTAATTCGGACAACGGGTAGCTTGCTAAAGCGATGTTTGCATCTTAGGTTATGGCCATCGGGCAACAACATGTCGCGGATACTTTTGACTTGGTTCGGAGTGAGAAAGTGTTGACCAGTTCGTGAAGACCAGGTAGTCAGAAGTAATGCGTATTGGGTTCGCTGAATCACGAGTGCTGGGTATCCGCTCGAAAGTGGAAAGCTGTAGCTCGCTATGATTGCAGGTTAGGAAGCTGCAATGCTCAGCATTCACTATCGAGTCTTGACCAGCGGATACGTCACCGATGGGCAAATAACACGATCTATCGAATGCAGCGTGTGACGACATGCGCATCCAGAGACCACCTATCGTCGAAGCTCACCACTCTTCCAGGTTGCGGGCGCCGAGCGAGGGGGGGAAGGGAGAAGGAGAAGGCCTTCTCAGAAGGCGGCGGGACTTCTCAGAAGCCCTTGCGCCTTCTGAGAAGTTTTTACCTAACAGCGAAGACTGATAGGTTTCTAGTAGGGTCAAAAGAGAGCATCATGACGCCCCAGGGGGTTCTGGGCGCGATCCGGGGGGATGCCGGGGAATTCGTTTTAAGCAAACAGTAATGCACTTCGTGGTCTTCGAGTTCCCAGGACTCCATTCCTGGGCATGATTTTGAATGCCTGGAGCCAACTGTAGGCCACTTCGTGTTCTTCGTGTTCCCAGAACACCATTCCCAGGCCACATTTTGAATGCGCGGAGCCAGCTGTAGGCCACTTCGTGTTCTTCGTGTTCCCAGAACACCATTCCCAGGCCACATTTTGCTTGCCCGGAGCCAACTGTGGGCCACTTCGTTTTCTTCGTGTTCCCAGAACACCATTCCTGTACCACATTTTGCTTGCCCGGAGCCAACTGTGGGCCACTTCGTGTTCTTCGTGTTCCCAGGACACCATTCCTGTACCCCATTTTGCTTGCCCGGAGCCAACTGTGGGCCACTTCGTGATCTTCGTGCTCCCAGAACACCAGTCCTGTGCAATATTTTGAATGCCCGAGCTGAGGCAGGCTGGGGCCGAGGCAGGCTGAGGCCGAGGCAGGCTGAGGCTGAGGCTGAGGCACGCCGAGGCAGGCTGAGGCTGAGGCTGAGGCAGGCTCAGGCTGAGGCAGGCTGAAGCTGAGGCTGACGCAGGCTGAGGCCGAGGCAGGCTGAGGCTGAGGCTGAGGCAGGCTGAGGCTGAGGCAGGCTGAGACTGAGGCTGAGGCAGGCTGAGGCTGAGGCTGAGGCTGAGGCTGATGCAGGCTGAGGCTGAGAGGCTGACGCTGAGGCTGAGGCAGGCTGTGGCTGAGGCTGAGGCCGAGACAGGCTGAGGCTGAGACTGAGGCAAGCCGCGGCAGGCTGAGGCTGAGGCTGAAGCTGAGGCAGGCTGAGGCTGAGGCTGATGCTGTGGCTGAGGCTGAAGCAAGCTGCGGCTGAGGCAGGCTGAGGCTGAGGCTGATGCAGGCTGAGAGGCTGAGGCAGGCTGAGGCTGAGGCTGAGGCAGGCTGAGGCTCAGGCTGAGGCCGAGGCAGACTGAGGCTGAGGCCGAGGCGAGCCGAGGCAGGCTGAGGCTGAGGCTGAGGCTGATGCTGAGGCAGGCTGAGGCTGAGACAGGTTGAGGCTGAGGCTGAGGCAGGCTGATGCTGAGGCAGACTGAGGCTGAGGCAGAGGCAGGCTCAGGCCGAGACAAGCTGAGGCTGAGACTGAGGCTGAGGCTGAGGCTAAGGATGAGGCCGAGGCAGGCCGAAGCTGAGACAAAGTGAGGCTGAATGGGGGGGGAAAAGGTGGGGGGGGGGGGCGGGTAGGAGGGGAGGCATGAGGCGCTGAGGCCGAGGCAGGCTGAGGCTGAGGCTGGGCAAGCAGAGGCAGGAAGGCTGAGGTGAGGCTGAGGCTGAGGCTGAGGCTGAGGCTGAGGCAGGCTGAAGCTGAGGCTGACGCAGGCTGAGGCCGAGGCAGGCTGAGGCTGAGGCTGAGGCAGGCTGAGGCTGAGGCCGAGGCAGGCTGAGGCTGAGGCCGAGGCAAGCTGAGGCAGGTTGAGGCTGAGGCTGAAACCGAGGCAGGCTGAGGCATCCGTAGGAATCCATAGGAAGCCTTGGGAATCCCTCGGAATCCTTAGGAATCCGTAGACATCCTTAGGAATCCGTAGGCATAGTTAAGCATCCTCAGGAATCCTTAGGAATCCTTAGGATTCCTCAGGAATCCTTAGGAATCCCTAGGAACCCCTAGGAATCAGGATTCCTAAGGACTCCCAAGGTTTCCTAAGGATTCCGATGGATACCCAAGGATGCCTAAGGATGCCTTAGGAATCCCTAGGAATCCTTAGGATTCCATTGGATCCTAAGGCCGTTGCCACTGCGACAGTCATTGCGAATGCGACTGCGACTACGAGAACAGCAGAATTCTACAACTGGATTCTCACCTGAATCTTAAAGGGAATGCTTCCAGATATGCTTATACACATCGCTGTTAGGTTGCTTTGCCGGGATAATTCGTGTCTTCGGGGAAGGTTTAGAAAACTTCTCAGAAGGCCGGGAGACTTCCGAGCCTTCCGAGAAGCCCCGCCCCTTCTCACTTCCCCCCTTCGCCCGCCGCCATAGGGAGCAATACCAATTACTGCACGCGGGTAGTTGTCTGGCGGGTATATTCTGTGTGCTACTGGATGTGCCAAGTTCTTTGACCACTGTCTTTGCTTTGGGTCCGCGCTCGCAGGCCTCATGATGAAACGGTGACCAGGGTGGCGGTTGTGGCAGTCGTGAATGGGTTGGAGATGATGTGGAGGAGGCGGAGGAGAGGGACGATGAAAGGTAGCACGAGGCGTATTTTGAGGAGAGGAAGGCGCAGATGGAAGGCTCCCCGCCGCGCGTTCGCCGACGGCCTCGTGGGATCGGAGTACCACGGCTGGGGCAAGTACGAGGTGGCTCCAGTTGGCTCGTGCGTGTCTCAATTCGGTACCCAAGCCTGAGGATTGCCCTTCCTATCCGTCCTTGACTCAGTTGTCTCGTATCCCGCAATCGGCTGAAGTGTCGAAGAAGGGGAGTGGGAGAACAGGGGATGGTGAGTAAGGGATGGAAGGGATGCCCACTTCTGTCCTCGTTCGTCTCCCTCGTGTCGTCCTCGGCCCCCTCCTTTCTAGCAGTGTCCCGTCCCGTTTGTTCTCGTGCCACTTCAAGATCTATGCGCTGTTTGGCGGTCTTGTGACCGTGAACTTCAATGCCTGGGAGGAGAACCAGCACGCGTACCAGAGTAGTATTGATACTCAGAGTCTGAAGCAGGAGGGGGAGAAACAGGAAGATAACAGAGGAGGGTGGGGAGGAGGAGGGGAAGGAGGTGGAGAAGGGGGAGGCGTGCATATTTGCACTTGCGTGCACGCACATGTAGCAATCGAGCGGCCTTCGGCCCGTCCCGCCACCGTGCGTGCTTGGGTTGTGGGTCATAGGCCTCTCGGGTGCATATTCGGGTCTGTCAGGGTACCTCTCCGGGGCCTCTGGAGAGAAGTAATCACCCGATACAACATTGCTTATGCGCCTGTGCCGCGAGTTCGGATGTATCGGTCACCGTGCCGCGAGGCCTGAGAGGAGTATCGTCAGGTAAGGTCTCCCGTGATAGTATTACTTGAGACTGCCGTTTTGAGCGCAATAACACATCTGTTTGTATACACATACGCGCATATAGACACCAGTGTGAGCTTGTATGTTAAATCCACGGAACCGATGCGCGCCGACAAGCAGGCAATACTGCAAACTGAAAGCCCGCGACTCTTTCAGTCATATGCGTCGGCGGATATGGGAGAATATCCTTCGCGTATCCCCACCAGTCCGTAGCCTTGGGCTCAAGCCGTCTCCCGGGGGGGGGGGGGCTCCTCCCTCTGGGGTTGGGGCTCGAGGTTGGCCGGCGCGGCCTGGGGGCCGCCGTCTCCCCCTGGGTTCCGCCGTCTCCCCCCGGGCTCGCCGCCGCCCTGGCTGCCGCCGGCGGCGGCCCCCCTGGCTTGGCTGCGGCGGCTGGCGCCGCTGGCGCTGCGCGTGCGGCTGGTGCCGCTAGCGCTGCCGCTCCCGCGGCCGCCGGCGCCGGCACCGCCGCCGCGGCCTCCGCCGCGTGCGCCGCCGCCGCGGCCAGGGGCGCCGCGCGCCGTCGCCGCGGCCGGGGGGCTACAGTGGCCGCTGCCGCCTCCGCGGGCCGCGGCCAAGGCGGCCTCTGCGGCCCCCCCACGAACCCCGCCCCAAAACCCACCCGCCCTGCCGCTGGCCCCGCGCTGCCGCTGCCGACGCCGCTCTGCTCCCTCTCCGGTGGCGGCGGCGGCGTCGGAGGGCTCGTTGGGCCGCGCCGCTGCCCCGTCGCCCTTGCGGGCCGCCGGCTCCGTCTGCCGCCGCCGGCCGCCGCTGCCGCGCCCCGCCCGCCCGTCCGCCGCCGCCGCCAGCCGCTGCGGCCGCCGCGCTGCTCCCCTCCTGTCGGCGGCGGCCGGCGGCGGCCGCGGCGGCCAGCGTCCGAGGCAGCCTCCGCTGCTGCTGCCGCGGCCGCCGGGGAGACTGCCGCTCCGCGCACGACGCTGCGGCGGCGGAGGGCGCGGTTGCCGGCGCCTGCCGCCGCCGCCCCCCTGCGGCCGCCGCCGGCCGCCGCCGCCGCCAGCCCGCCGCCCCCCGCGGCTCCGCCGCCGCCGCTGCGGCAGCCGCCGCTTGGTTCCCCCTCCAGCGGCGGCGTCGGCTTGCGCGGGCCGCGGGCCGTCGTCGCGGCAGGCCGTCGTCGCGGCAGCCTTCGCGGCGGCCGCTGCAGCTGCCGCTGCCGCCGCCGCTGCCGGCTCCTCGCCAGCGGCGGCGGCGGCGGATGGCGCGTTGGCCGGCGCCGCCGCGGCAACGCGCGGCCTGCCCCGCGGCCCTTCCCACGGCGAGCCCGACGGCCGGGCCCGCGGCCAGCCCGACTGCCAGCCCCGCGGCCTGCTCGACTGCCAGCCGCGCAGCCAGCCCGACGGCGAGCCCCACGGCCTGCCTGGCTGCCCGCCCCACGGCCCGCCTGACGGCCAGCCCGACGGCCCGCCCCGCGGCCAGTCAGACTGCCAACCCCACGGCCGGCCTCACGGCCAGCCCTACGGCAGTGCGGCCGCGCAGGGTGTCGTCAGCCGCAGCGCGCCGTCTCCTCCCTTTCCTGAGGCAGACCAGCGGGCCCCAATAGTGCTCTTCACTCCTATCAGCACCTCTGGGGCAGTGTCGTTGTGGAGACAGGAGATGCGACCCGAAGCGTGCCCCCTCCTGGAGACAGGGCCGTGGCGACAATTGGGGGTGCTGCAGAAGGCGCGCCTGCGCTCGGAGACGTTCCTCACAATTCTGGCAGTCAGGAAGATGTATCCGAAAGTGCGGCCTTCAGCTGCAAAAGGAACGCGCCCCCTCTTGGAGATAGCATCGTGGCGATAGTTGGCAGCGCTGCAGAGGGCGCGCCCGCGCTCGGAGACGTTCCTCACAATTCTGACAGTCAGGGAGATGTATCCAAACGTGCGGCCTTCAGCTGCAAAAGGAACGCGCCCCCTCCTGGAGACAGCATCGTGGCGATAGTTGGCAGCGCTGCAGAGGGCGCGCCCGCGATCGGAGACGCTCCTCACAATTCTGACAGCCAGGGGGGTGCATCCGAAAGTGCGGCCTTCAGCCGCAAAAGGAACGCGCCCCCTCCTGGGCCCAGCATCGTGGCGATAGTTGGCAGCGCTGCAGAGGGCGCGCCCGCGCTCGGAGACGATCCTCACAATTCTGACAGTCAGGGAGATGTTTCCGAAAGTGCGGCCTTCAGTTGCAACAGGAACGCGCCTTTTCATGGAGACATCATCGCGGCGATAGTTGGCAGCGCTGCGGAGGGCGCGCCCGCGCTCGGAGATGTTCCTCACAATTTTTACAGTCGGGAATTTGTATCCGGAGGTGCGGGCTTCAGCGGCAAGAGTCCTCTGGGAGAGCTCGAGACTGATCATGTGGTCGTTTGCCACGGCGCCTCGGTCCCCCCCCCTCCTGGAGACCGGCAGGCGGGCCCCCATGGTGCTCCTCGCTCCTATCGGCGTCCCTGGGGCAGGTTCGCGGAGGAACCCAGAAATGCCGTCGAAAGCGCGCTCCCTCCAGGAGACAGTATCGTGGCGATAACTGGGGGTGCTGCAGGGGGCGCGCCCGCGTTCGGAGACGTTCCTTTCAATTCAGACACTCTGGTATTTGTATCCGAAAGTGCGGCCTTCAGCTGCAAAGGTCTTCTGGGAGAGCTCGAGACTGATCGGGTGGTCGTTTGACACGGCGCGTCGGTCCCTCCCCCCCCTGGAGACCTGCAGGCGGACCCCCATCGTACTCCTCGCTTCCACCGGCGTCCCTGGGGCAGGTTCGCGGAGGAAACCATCAGCGTGTCGGTTCTCCCTGGCAACGGCATCGCGGCGACAGTTGGGGGCGCTGCAGGGGGCGCGCGCGCGTTCGGAGACTTTATTCACAAATGAATAGCCAGGACATCATTCCTCGCAGTTCTGACAGCCAGGAAGGTGCATCCGCAAGTGCGGCCTTTAGCTGCGAAAGGACAGCGCCCCCTCCTGGAGACAGCATCGTGGCGATAGTTGGCAGCGCCGCAGAGGGCGCGCCCGCGCTCGGAGACGTTCCTCACAATTCTGACCGTCGGGAAGATGCATCCGAAAGTGCGGCCTTCAGCTGCAAAAGGAACGCGGCCCCTCCTGGAGACATCGTCGTGGCGATTGTTAGCGGCGCTGCAGGGGGCGCGCCCGCGCTCGGCAGCGTCGCGGCGATAGCTGGCAGCGCTGCAGAGGGCGCGCCCGCGCTCGGAGACGTTCCTCGCACTTCTGACAGTCAGGGAGATGTGTCCAAAAGTGCGGCCTTCAGCTGGAAAAAGGAACTCGCCCCCTCCTGGAGACAGCGTCGGGGCGATAGTTGGCAGCGCTGCAGAGGGCGCGCCCGCGCTCGGAGACTTTCCTCGCAATTCTGACAGTCAGGGAGATATCTCCGAAAGTGCGGCCTTCAGCTGCAAAAGGAACTCGCCCCCTCCTGGAGACAGCGTCGGGGCGATAGTTGGCAGCGCTGCGGAGGGCGCGCCCGCGCTTGGAAACGTTCCTCACACTTCTGACAGTCAGGGACCTGTTTCCGAAAGTGCGGCCATCGGCTGCCAGGGTCCTCTGGGAGAGGTCGAGCCTGATCAGGTGATTGGTTGCCGCGGCGCGTCGGTCCCTCCCCCTCCTGGAGATCGGCAGGCGGACCCCCTATGGTGCTCCTTTCTCCCATCAGCGTTCCCAGGGCAGGTTCGCGGAGGAACCCATCGGCGTGTCGGTCCCCCCCTTCCTGGAGATCGGCAAACCGGCGTTCCTACAAATCCTCTTTCCTATCAGCGTCCCGGGGGCAGGGCCCCGGTGGAGGCCGAGGATGCGCGCGATGGCGCGCCCGCTCCTGGCAACTGCCTCGCGGCGACAATTGGGGACGCTGCTGAGGGCGCTCCCGCGCTCGGATACTTTCCTCGCGCATGGTCAGGAGATCATGTCGGTTTGCAGCCTTCAGCTGCAGGAGTCCTCTGGGAGAGCTTCAGGCTGAACAGGTGGTCGGTCGCAGCAGCGTGTCGTCCCATTCCCCTCCTGTAGACAGGCAAGCAGGCGTTCCCACAGCTCCTCACTCCTATCAGCACCCCTTGGGCAGCGTCGTTCTGGAGGCGGAAGGTTCGGCCGAAATGGTGCCCCGTCCTGGCAGCAGTGTCGCGGCGACAATGGGGGGCGCTGCAGAAGGCGCACCCGTGTTTGGAGACGTTCCCCGCAAAGTTGACAGTCAGGAGGACCAGTGCCGGGCCCTGAAGCCGGGGCCAGGGCCGGGGCCGCGGCGCCAAAGCGGCGGGGCCGGGGCCGGGGCTGGGGCTGGAGCTTGGGCTGGGCTGGACTGGGGCCGGGGCCAGGGCCGGGGGCGAGGCGGGGGG